AGCTTCTATATTATTATGAAGTACTTAAGGTTCTTATGGTCTAAAAGGATCTTAAAGTGGTCGATGCTCTATAGCTCGGCTCTCTATTTTTATAAGTAGCTTATAATAGCTAGTATCTGCTTATTATGGACTGGGTAGTTGAACTAGGTAGCGTTTAATTATTATAAATAATATATTATTATATAGCGCTAGCTATGTTTATCCTTTTGTAAGAGAATTTCTTTGAGGTTGTCACAGACCCGCTGTCCTAGCCCCCAACCTTGAGGTTGGTGTTGAGTAATCCGGTGGCCGGGTTACGTAAGCCTGAGGCTGGATAAAACCCTGCATTCTGTATTCTGTCGCGCATGTCCAGAAACGTAGCTTCTTGAGCTACGTCTTGTCAACAGAGCCTGTACCTGCTTAGGATAGAGCCTGCCCGTAGCAATAGATTGTCTGATCCGCCTGCCCAGCATCCACCTGCCAAACAACCTGCCTGCTACCGTGACAGAGGGTAAAGCCTAAGCAGTCGGCCTTAATATAGGTTATATATTGTAGGTCTAGTTAATATAATATAGGCTTAGTTATAAAAAAAATTCTTAGCTCCTAGAATACTTCTTTTTATTTCTTACTTTAGTAAAATAAGATATCTTTTTTTATAAGAACTATAAGAGGTTTAATAATCTCTAACTAAGTATAACGTGGTTCATCAGTCAGCCGGACGTTTTTTCCCACGTACACAACAACATCTAGTATTTCTCAACCACAACGCATTAAATCAACTATTAGTTGTCGCTATCAGAATCTCCTGAGGGTTCGACATCTTTGGAACAGGTTCGCGCGTTATGCCCAGTCTCACCACACATACCACAGCGTCTCCGAGCTGGCTGGGCTCTCTTTGATGGACCCCCCTCGTCGTCCTCTTGAGGCGCTGGACGTTTACCTTTTTGTTTCTCTTCCAGCAAATCCTGAGATTCCTCTATACTAAGTGCCCCTCCAAGCTGCACACGTGACCTTTTGGCCCTCCGACGCTTAGCAAGTGCTACATTCGCATCCTCAAGGGTACGAAGCCGATCAGTCAAAATAGTGATTGAGTGCGCCATTGCCTGCGCACCCTTTGACAATTGCTCAACTGCAGCAATAATTGGTGTCGGTGAGCTTCCTTGATGAGCAGAGATGCGACTTTTGATAGTGTTGGACTGCGAGACGGTTTGTTGTGGGTTAGAGGGCGTTTGCGACTGCCAAGGTGGTGGTGTTGAAGGGTTGGCTATAGGAGGTGTAGGCGTCCGTAAATGCACATCAAGCTTTTTGATGACATGCTCTGGGTCCCATGGTGAAATTCCAGCGCCTTGGAAAGCAGACCTGATGTTTTCCTCATTAAAAACCTTATTATGGGCCTGGTGGAAGGCAATAAAGAACTCAGACTTGGTGATGTGATTTATGGAGGCTCTGATGAATAGGTTGATTTCATCACCGTATGCGCGTTTCAAAGGCGAATAAAGCGCAATATCCAATGGCTGTAGTAGATGCGATGAATGTGCAGGCATACTGGCCGTTATAATATTGTTCTGCTTGCAGTAATCGTCGAATTCGGCCGATAAATGGCTCTCATGGCCGTCGACAATGAGCATCCGGTAGACGCCCTTCGTTTGGTTCTTAGTATGTTTGTCGAAGTGTTTAATCCAGTCAAGACCCGTCTGATTATCCGTCCATCCATTAGCCGTGGGTTTGATGACCCAGTTGCCCGGAAAACCTGATTCCGTGGTCCAACTGGCAAGGTGATATGCGCCCTTGATGATCACGAACGGAGGGATGCACCACCCGCCCGAATTGATACATTCAATGACTGTAGCCCATTCACGATTGCAAGGCTGGACAGACTTTGCTTTGCCGCGTCGATCGGCGCGTGTTACCACCATTGACGCGGTGATCATGCCCATCATGAAGCCAGTTTCGTCAAAATTGTATATGTCCCCCTCTTGGATGCCATACTTGGCCATCATGTTGCGTAATAGCGCAAACCACTTTGATATAACCTGAGGATCTTCTTGAAGAGCCCTTTGATAATCGTATGGACGATTAAACTTGGTTTTCAGAGCAGGCTGCGAGTCCACAAACCGCCTGGCCCATCGCTTGCCAACAGGCTCGGTATTACGCGCTCGCAGTAGGAGATTGGCTATATCTTCTATACCGCCAAGGCGTAAAGGAAATCCTCTGGAATCCTGTTCAATAACGTATTGGAGAAGTGTTTTCTCTTCGATCGGATTGAGTTTATGTTGTTAGGGTTGAGTTTGTTCGCGTTGCGGTCGGTTGTTTATTTTATTAGCTAAGGTGCTCTTTGGGATACCGTAGGTCTTTACGGCACGCGAAATTCTTAAGTTACTACCTATAGCGCATATCGATCGGATCGCTTCAATCGTAAGAACGACTTTATCTTCTTGCGTGTAGATTGGTATTATGGTTAATGAGATTTTACGCGTTAAAGGTTTAAGTGGTTTGGACATAAGTGTGTTTAGAAAAAAACGTCCGGCTGACTGGTCCGGCCGGCTGACTGATGAACCACGTTATTTACCCAATCTATCCGTAGATTACATTTTCGTAATTACGAGATTCGAAGGATAATATCGATATCCTCAATCTTCATAATATTATACTGGAGTTAGTCTAGATAATTATTAATATATATCGTGAGATATACGGTCTTATGAGTGATAAGTCCCTTGTCACACTTAACTCTCTCTCCTTTTATATTCTATAGGGTGTACGGTTCTTCTTTCTATACTTATAGAAGGTCTTACCTGTTTATTATCTTTAGTAATATAAATGTTCGTTATACGCCGCTATGGATAATCGCGCGCACATCGTCTCCGTTTATCTAAAGTCTAACTCTTAGATATTTATTAGTAAGATATATTATCGAATATAGGCGCTTATCCTTGCTTTCCGCATTTTAGTATCTCTTATCGATTAGCGTTTTTAGTTTGTAGTTATTCGTTTCTTTAGTCTAATGTCCTGTTCGATTTATTCTTGATATTCATTCTAAGCCTTTACCTTAGGTACATAGTAGATCTAGTACTAGTCGTGTCTATAATTGTTCTATTCTATATATTCGCTATTTGGGTATTATATAGAAAGTTTAGATCAGGTCTAAAGGTTACCTAGTTATTATTTTCGAAGGATAGTAGTTTCTAGCTCTTGAGTTAGTCATTTATGTAGATATCCTCAATTAGCTTATTGTTAACTCTTTGTAAGTAGAATCGAGAGTCCTTCTTAGGCGAGAGGTGCTAAAGGCATCTGTAGAAGAGTTCTTTATAAAAGTGGTCCTTAGGTTCGAGCAAAGGGTAATCCTTAGGTATATAAGGTATTATATGATCTTTCTTACGGTCGGAAGTCCCATAGAGTTCGACTATCTAATTATCGTTATATAGGTAAATATATTTATACCGAGATTCGTTAGAATCCTCTCCAGAGCTAGTATCGTTAATACTAGGTGATGCCTTATAATCGATCTACGCCTAAGTACGTCGTCGGGCAACGTTACGAGGTTCGTTTAAATTATAAGGTAATTATTTTGGCTATTTGTTCGGAAGTCGATTTTTTTATTCTTATTTATTTCGAAATCGAGGTTCTTTTCCTTAATAATTTCGATTTTATATTTACGGTCGAGGCCTTTAAGCTGCTCGAGGACCTTATATTAAAACTTATTGTTCGGGATTTATTATGTTATATAGATAGACTTAGTAGGGATCCGTACTTCCTTTACTAGGATCTCGTTTTCTAGTTAGAGTAGGGATTTCTTATCCTTCGTAGTTATTCTTTTCTAGAGTCTTCCTCCGATTATTACGAGTGTTTAGGCTCGTCCTAGATGGTTAATAATATATGCCCTAATAGCTTTATAGGCCGTGGATAATATCTAGATATATTCCTTATTATAATCCTCAAGGGTCTTTAATCATTACGTGACCTCTTGCCTGCTTATTATAATGAGAGTTTTAATACTAGCGGGCTCCTTAGAGTACTATCCTGTATTTTCCTTATTATTTTAATAAATAAGGTAGTTATCGTTATAGTATGTTATTTAAGAGAGTTATTTATAAGGAATTTCGCTGGTGGCGATTCTGATTTATTTCTCGGGAATAGGTCATTACCAAATCCGCTTAAGTAATTAGTAATTATGGGATATATATCCTAGTTTATCGTAATTAAAGCACCTAAAGACTTTCTTTTAATATACTTATTCCCGTTTAGCTGTACTAAGGTCTATTAGTCTACTATATTATCTATAGGCCATGGTTTATCGGTTCTATTAATAGTTCTTTTTAAGACGGTTCTATCCTTAGAAGCGCGGTTAATAACGTTTCCTAGTGTTTATTTACGGGACGTGCTTCTTTTTCTTTTATTGTTCGTAAAGTCGATTATCGAGCTTAGTAGCTAATTCGATATATATTAAGAAGTCGTCGGGTCTATCTTATTAAGATAGTTCGTCTTTAACTTCCTCCTTAAGTCCTTTATAGAACATAAAGATCCTAGCATTATTAGAATAGTTAAGTCGGGCGTAGATTTGTCTGTTTCTGTAGTATAGTGCGAGGCTAATCCCTTCTATCGAAGGTTAGAGAGCTCTCTTTTATATTATCGTTCTTTATCTAGTTTTTAAAATAGAGATAGAAGTATACTTTTAAATCTATATAGTCCTTCGAAGATGCCTTGAAACTCTAGCTTAAGAGTGAGATATGTTTATAAAAGTTGAGGCTGCGGGACTGGTAATAGTGATAACGTACCTGCATAGCGAGTGGGCCAACATAGCGAGTGGGCCACTTTCCTCTACCTTTCTACCTTTTATGTAAGTTAATTTAGCTACAACGTACAAAATTAATTAAAACTACTCATCATCCTCTTCCTCATTACTGTCCCAAACTACTTCACAGGTTCGTGCGTTATGTCCAGTCTTTCCGCAATTGCCACATCGTCGCGCGCGTGGTTCAGCGCCTTCCGTACGACCCTCCTTCTGAGGGTTATTCTTCCCTGGCAAGGGCAAATGCTCATCGGGCTGCGGCAATCGAAATTTTATTTTCACGTAGGCATATTAAATCAGATACAAGAAACGCTGCAGTCCTCGTGAACTGTCTACGATTACTGACATAACCGTTGTTCAGAGGCCTGCCATGGAACCATCCCGCTGTCGCAGCAAGCGGGTTCACCCCCCAGCAGGTGGAAGCTGGCATTCGCTCAGACATGGCAGCAATTGTGAAAGCTGGCTATAAAATCAAGGGTTGTCTGCATTGTCCGTTGGCATACGTTTCTATTGACTGATACGATCGTAGCTGTTCTCCTCGGCCCCGAAGATAGCTTGGACTTCCTCTCAGACGAATTGAAGGGTGTGGAATGGACCGGAACAGGTGTTGGTTTTGGCGTTCGGGGGAACCCGTCGCCAGTGATCACGCGCCGTCTCATGGGTTTGCTCACCCCCCAGGTCGATCATTGAACCGTGCACTAAATCGTCACATCTATAGATGCTGTGCAGTTATACCGGGACGAAGTGCCTCGGGCGAGGATCTTGTTCAATTATTCGCCTGTCACGTCCCTTTGGGCAATTCAGCAGTACCATTCACTCTCTACAGAATGCGCAAACACCAACGGAACTGATTTAGTAGGTTCATAAGCTGTTTACTGAAGTTTATCAAACTAACTAGATTATCAGGGTATCGCGATCCGTTGCCGTGCCTGCTCCCCCTCTGTTTAAAGGCAACAAACTTGAGTGGTTACTTGGCAATGGTGTCTCGAGAAGCACCGAATGATGAGCTTTCCTTCATTGTGGAATACGGGCACTATCTGAACGTTCGATTGGAAAATTCTCTAGTAATCAAAAACCCCACAACCTCAATCGAGAAATAATCGCGTCAATGGGCAGGAATGCGTATGCGATATTAGTACCTTAGGCGCCCAACACGCTGGACTTGAGCTGCTAATGTTTCTGTTTTTCATGCGCATATCTTGAGCCACTGGAAGCGAGCGCGCTTCCTCCCATCGAGCTTCGTTGCCTTTCTGTTTGACCACCTCTGAGCTTTGAGCTAAAGACAGTAGCAGTGACCGAATGAGCATGGGGCCATAGCCACGGTTACGATGATCAAAACGAAAGGCTTCATGTAATTGCCGATGTCGTCACTGGAGAACAAGACGCATCGAGTGTGTCATGTGCAAAAGCGTACACACGTCAAGTGGAAATTGCTAGGGCTTAAATACTTTGCCTTGATTATTCTCGGAGATTTCTTGAGTAATGAGAGACAGTGTATTTGACTTGTACTCTTTCTCTTGGTGATTGAAATTACCTTAAAGTGTGGTTGCCTTGAAAGGTCTACTTTTATAATGGACAGTACTTATCCAGCTCTGCGAAGACGCTAAACTTTGGAATTGGGCAGCATCAACCGAGCATCCGATATTATGACGCACGCAGTGGAGTAGACTAGAAACTACGAAGACTCATGTAAGATATCTGCTGCCATCAAGGGGCAGCTCACGTATACGAGCATTATAGTAGCTAGCATGCCTAACCTGCTCGAGTAGGCTACAAGCACAAAACTGATGTTATTTGAGAAAGGTCTATTTCATGAATGTCGGTGGCCTGACTTCAATTTGTGTTAACACCCATGAGTCCCTAGGTAAAATTGAACAAGGCCATTTACTTTGTTTCTACCTTATCGCTGATTGCTCGGGCGTTAGGCGGCGCTCGATACGTCTTCCACAGTACCTCTACAAAGTATAAGGAACAAGGCCTTTATCTTAACAAATGCAAGCCAATTACATATAAATCATTGTGCGTTGGTTAATTCCAAAGACTTTGTGGCAGTGTGATGACGTAAAATAGAAATGAGGCTACTTTCAAATAACAGATTGATCATGTGTCAAGTGAGGGCATTCAAGGGCATTCATTACTCGAAACATGCTTTTTGTTGGTATCCCTATCACAGGGATGTTGGTTCGAACCGTAGGGTCCTGGGGGTGACGAAGTATCAATATCTCTGTATTGATTGATTCTACGTAAGGAGTAGAAGAGAGATTCCAACCGGAGGTTGGGTGGGTAGTCGAGGTCTAAGTGTACCCCCTCGAGGTGGCCCATGCTCTGCCCCTACTCGCGGCCGAATTAGACTTCCAATCCGACACTTTTAATACAACCTCGGTACGCTCAAGACATCATGGCCATGTCCTTGAACTACTTAAATAGTTCCTGTCAGGCCGTGCTCCTGCTCAACACGACAAGGGGCAAGCCATTTACTAGGCAGGCTTGCTACTGACATCGCGTTGCTTATTTTCCTCGTTCGGTCGTTGGCGGCGGGGAAGGGGAGCTCGGCGTCTCACGTGATTGATCGATCCAATCGAAATATCGACGATCAGGGCAACCTAACTTATCATTCGGACGGATAATATTTCCTCCAGTATACTGTGAGTCACATATCGAGCACCGCCTTATGAGCAATAGGGCAGACAAAATAATAAACAAATATTTCCTCCAGAGGCTCAGACACCCGGTCCCCAATCTAAGGTACGGATACTCCATGCTAGCCTCGGATGTGTACCAATGGCGGCCATTCCGCCGCCGTTGCAGAGTGCAGTTATCGTAGTTCGCCCGGGTGCCCCAGGCGTTCGTAACCCCGCCCGGTCGCAGAGGTGGGGAGTGGGCCTTGGTCCTATCGCTGTGGGCGCAACCTAACCTATCAAAAACAGTCCCAGATGCTCACGTCTGACAGTCACTGATTGGTGATCCATGTCGACAAGAGCTGGACAGCTGGGCTGACGTAGTACTCTATCTGGAAGCGTGCCAAGTGCTAGGATCAATCAGGAAAAGAACGCCGGACGCGGAGTGTACCCAATCACACGAGCTCAATTTCAACTAGTATGGGGCCAAGAATCTTGGTCTCCGACTCCCTGGTCCCTTATCATTGTGTGTTGGCCCTGTCGCGATACGACACGCAGGGAGATTCCCTGTTATGTTCAAGGCAACGTCGGTGTTGGTGCCGTTGCCAAACCACTTTGCCGTGCTTACCTTCGCTTTACATGCTTGGCCAGCGTGGAGCTAACCTGTCACTGGACGCGGTTTCTGGAGATACCAACCATTCAGCCCGATAAGAGTTGACAAGTTGACAAGCCTGTTGCTGCTAGTTGTTTAACAAAAGCGACTTGCCCCCCCTCCCCCCCCCCCCCCTCCCCCCCCTTTCGCCCTCTTGCCGTGGTTCTGCTTCACTCCCTCCTCCTCCTTCCCGAAAGACTGCCAAAAGTCACGTGTCGCAAACTTTACATGGTGTTTTGAGTCAATCTTTCTACTTCCGCCCGTCCTTGGTTCATTCTCGTGGGATCTTTCAACGGCTGCGGCCTTCATTTGTTTTCTCATCTGACACTACCACAATGAAGGAGTCGCATGCAGAGAAGCACCCGAGCTCCGGCGATGCGATGACCGCCGAGCTCGGTAGCATCCGGAATGTCGACTCCGAAGACAAGATGGGTCACCTGCATCGCAGGCTCAACAATCGTCAAATCCAGCTCATCGCAGCAGGTGGATCAATTGGAACGGCACTCTTCATCAGCATCGGCGGTGGTCTCGCCAAGGGTGGTCCCGGCAGCTTGCTGATAGCGTACACCGCTTACACCCTGATTCTTGCCCTCGTCAACAACTCTGTTGCCGAGATGAGCACGTATATGCCCGTTGCAGGTGGCTTTGTCCGTCTGGCTGGGTATTGGGTCGATGACGCACTTGGTTTCCTTGCGGGATGGAACTTTTTCCTCTACGAAGCTATCTTGATCCCCTTTGAGATTACTGCTCTCAATATCGTTATTTCGTTTTGGAGTGATGATGTCGTGAAACCCGGTCCAACAGCTGGTATTTGTGCTGCTGTGATTATTCTTTATGGGTAAGAATATCATCCTGATTCGCAGAACACTCTGCTTCTGCCGCTGGCTTCCCTTTGCGAGGGGGGTATGCTGCAAATACAAATGTAATGTGACACTGACGTGTGTACACAGGTTGATCAATGTCCTCGCGGTACGGGGCTATGGCGAAGCTGAGTTTTGGCTTTCCGGAGGGAAGCTGATCTTGATCTTCATGCTTTTCGCTTTCACATTTGTGACCATGGTCGGCGGCAACCCCCAACGAGATGCATACGGCTTCCGCCACTTTACGAACCCTGGTGCGTTTGCAACATATCTATCAGGCGGCGACCTGGGTCGTTTCGAAGGGTTTCTTGCTGCACTTTTCAGTGCCTCCTTCACCGTTGTCGGTCCCGAGTACATCTCCATGGTATCTGCTGAAGCTCAACGGCCCAGCATTTATATCAAGTCAGCATTCATTACCGTGTATTACCGATTTTGTATTTTCTTCATCATCGGTGCGCTGGCTGTTGGCATCGTAGTTCCGTATAACCACCCAACCCTAGTCAACCTTTACTTTGGTGATGGTGGTGGCGGTACGGCTGCGGCTTCTCCCTATGTGATTGCCATGGAGACACTCGGTATTGGTGTGCTTCCTCATATCGTCAACGCACTCATTCTTACGTCTATCTTCTCGGCTGGCAATACCTACACCTACTGTGCCACTCGAGCGCTTTACTCACTATCCATCGAAGGAAGAGCGCCTCGTTTCCTGCGTCGATGCAACAAAAATGGAACTCCCATCTACTGTTTCGCCATCGTCATGCTATTCCCGATGTTATCTTTCCTCCAAGTAAGCAGCAGTTCTGCTGTTGTTATTACATGGCTAACTGCGCTTATCACGGGAGGTGGGCTGATCAGCTTCATCATCATGTCGATCACGTTCATCAACTATCACAAGGCCTGTGTCGCCCAAGGAGTTGATCGCAAAACCCGACCATACTATGGATACTTCCAGCCTTACGGCGCATACATTGCATTGGGCTTTCAGTTGCTCATTCTCTTAGTGTATGGCTACTACGCGTTCCGGCCGTGGTCAGTAGAGTTGTTCTTCCAGAGCTACACTATGCAGATCCTAGCCGTCGTTCTTTTTTGTGGATGGAAGTTATTCAAGAAGACCAGATACATAAGGCCCCATGAGGTTGATCTTGTTTGGGAGCGGCCATTGATTGAAGCCTACGAAGAGTCTTTAGTTGATCCGCCAGTTGGCTTTTGGACCGAGATGGCGCGAATGGTTGGGCTTCGAAGGAACAAGGTAGGCTTCCATTAATCCCTCTTGAGGGCGACAAAGGCTGACCCTCTTAGGTCTAACACGCCTTCTTTCCAGCTCAAATCTCATGTAGGATACCTTAATGTACTCAATTCCATGTATTTATCTAATCATGATTTTGCTATCGCCTGGGAGAAACCCGTAGCACTCCGTTGATGGTAATGGTGTCATTTGCACTTTTTCTTTTGATGACTTTGCTCTGCTGGCGTGAGCTTTGGAAAGAGGACCCGGCAGAGGGTGGTCATTGCTCGGATGGAGTACAGCTCAAAGGCCGCAAGATCTACAGGAATTGACTAGAATTCTCGAAAAATGGCGGCGAAGCTGCAATTATTACAGAGCTCTGGGGTACATTAGGGCGCTGGCCGGATGGTCCCAGCTTAGGTATGTGACCATTAAAAACTGCGCGAAAATTC